TAGGTATGAATGTAGAGGGATATAAGGGGAAAGGAAGGCCAAAGAAAGATGGATGGATTGTGTGAAAGATGACATGGATAAGAAAGGTGTGAGTATAAAAATGACGGCTGATAGGGGAGAGTGGGAGAAAAATACATGTTGTGCCGACCCCACCTAGCGTGGGATAAGGACAGGAAGAAGAGATTCGGAGCCAAATATTGCAAAGATTATTGCAAGTATTCAAAAAAATCTAATTTCTCAATTTCATCAACGCTTCACCAAATCTGGTAGAAAAAAATAACAATTCTTAAGCCAAAATAGTGCGTGGTTGGATGGCATATTCACCGTGAATCTTGAAGACTCTACTTGCGAATCTGAACCTTCTTCATCGACAGAAAAGCGAGGACGACCTTCTAAAACCTACGGCGACAGTTCAGAGAGAACAAAAAAATGGAAAAATAAATTTACTTGAAAATTGTGATCTTGATTTTATACTAAATTCCTACATGGTGAAACAGACGTAGCATTCATTGTGGAAATTTTACGGGTACTGCCGGTAGAAAAAAAATGAAATACGCTACAATCTTTTAAATGATCCAGTAACGGCCTACTCTATTCATACTTAGAGCAGGCCGTTACTGGATCAGCTTTCAGCATTTTTTGAGTTGCATCTGAACAAGTCACAATATGAAATCATGAGAAATTGTTTAATATCAAAGCATTGCGTGTTGTTTCCATCTTACAAATCTATTCTGGAAGCTAAACGAACATGTTATCCACTAGAATCTAGCATCGAAATCAATAATATCATGGCAAAAATAAAAGTGTAAGACCTTTTGGATCACACTACAGCAAGAATCCTGAAAATCAATGGCGTTTATAAAGTTGATTTAACCCACTTAATGCTATATTCTAAATGGCGCTGTGATGGATCAAGCGGACAAAGCGAGTACAAGCAAGACCTGCCTGAAGAGACTGAATTAGTTTCCGATGCAAATTTATTTATATCTTCTAATAGTGCCCCTGAAACTTGTTGATATTAATACTAATGAAACTGTGTGGGAAAATCCGGTTCCGTCATCAGTAAGATTTTGTCGCCCTATTTTAATGGAATTTTCTAAAGAGACACCCGAGAAGACTGCAAGTGTAGTTGCTAAAATTAATGCTCAAATAGCCGCTCTTACTCCGAATTTAATTAACAAATATGGTGAAGGTGTTGAAATCACGCATATATTATTTGTAACAATGGTTGATGGAAAAGTGGCTCAAGTTTTGTCAGAGACTTCATCAGGCGCTGTATGTACCAGTTGTTGCGCAAGACCTACAGAGGTGAATAATTTAGAAAATGTACAAAAGAAACCTGTTGACGAAAGTTCCTATCAATATGGCCTTTCCATTTTACATTGTTGGATCAGACTCATGGAACTAATTTTACGTATATCTTACAATCTGAACTTTGAGAAATGGTCTGCTACAACAACAGAGAACAAGACTTGAAAAAATAAAAGAAAAGTTATGTGCAAAGGAAGTTTCGAGAAGAACTCGGTTTAAATATAAGATAAACCTAAGCAAGTAAGTGGAAATACTAATGATGGCAATACAGGGGAGATTTTTTTCAAAATTATGTTTGTACATCAGAAATTACTGGTGTAGATGAGGGATTGATACGACGATTGTATGTTATACTTCAAGTTATGTCAAGCGGAAAAGTTATTGAAGCCACGAAATTTGGACAATATGCATTCGAGACAGCGCAACTATACGTACACAAATATAAGTGGTATTATATGCCATCCTCTGTGCATAAAGTCTTAATTCACAGGAAAATTGTAATTCAGCATTATTCTGTATTACCGATTGGACAACTCTCGGAAGATGCTCAAGAGTCAAGGTACAAAGATTATAAACGTTTCAGACTTCATTACGCTAGAAAATGCTCTAGAAGACATTTTACATACACTTTTTTAAACTTCGGACCCTTACATAACTGGTCTTAGAAAACCTTATAATAAGAAATCTATACAGCTTCTAGATGAAGCTTTGGAGGAGGAGGATGAATTTTAAAATACTTTTAGCTTTTCATTTAATTAAATTGTTTAATTACAATCACTTTAAGATGTTTAATTTTATTATTTGTAAGTAAACATAGTTTATTTTTTTTAAAGATGTTAGTTTATATAATTTATTTTGTCCATATATTTTTATAGCTATTCAAAATCAAAGATTTATACCATAGGTAAAATAAATTACACTTGAAAACGTTATTTTATAGGGATTAATTACTCTTTTCGAATAAACTTTTATACTACTGAATACACTTTGAATCAAATTTGTGCAGAATGTAGACCCATATCGTCTTTCCACACATCTTTATCTTCTATTTTGTAATATGGCCTTTGTAATTGCTTTTGCTTTCTTTTTTATGAAGTTTAAAAAAGGGTTAAAAAGTTAAGTTATTAAAAATATGTTAATACCTACAAAATGTATATTAATTAAAAGCACATTTATTCAAGAATATCCAAAAAAAATCACGTAATTATCTTTCAAAACTTGAAAGTTATAGATAAATGACATGAAAATGACTCAATCTCCTTATAGTGCGACGTCTACCAGAAATACAATGGTGGTGAACAATTCTGACATTCAATAAAAACTTAATTACCATTGACATACAATTATATGGACGTCGGGTCCGCGCTAAAAAGTGTCCGAACTTATAGGGCGTTAAAATCGTATACAGAGCGTCATTCACGCTCTAGTCTTCGTTTGTTCGACTGACAGCGAAGCAAGCAAAATTAGACAGTACTGCGATGACATTACAATTTAAATTCAACGTTTTAGCTTTTTCATATTCCTTTACATGTCACTACGTTTAAATAGGTTGAATTGGGACATTTTTTTGTGGTTTTTGTATTAGACCCGTCGTCCATTTATTTGTAAGTCAATGTTAATTACAATTAAAAAGTGACGTCTCTAGCCAGTGCCGGTAGCTGTGAAGGTACCTAACTGGATGAAGAAATACTTTCATAAGATTTCCCACTATTTGTCATTTTTAGTCAAAAATTCAAGAGACATAACTACAAATTAGCATGGATAATTATCGGATAGTTATCAGATAATTGTTATAATAATTATCATTGAAAATAAATATCTAATGATTTTGAATCCTGATACCCACCAAATATCTTACCTGATATAACAACAGTTGTGCTAATAAGCGTGCCTTCACATATCTGCTGAAAGGGTGTGGTAGTTTTCCTATATATACTAGCGTGCCATGGCAGGTCACCGCGCCAATGCCCTTGAAGCTGGACGTTGTTGAGTCCCCCCTCAGATGCAACTCTGCCACACTCTGTAAGTGTAAGATTAAGGAACGTAAAGATATTTTGTGATGTTTAGTAAAGATGTTTTGATAATTTATTTGTAACTTCGTCTCTAAACAAGTAAAATATTTTTTTTTATAGAAATAATACATACCTTTTCAAAGAAGGATGACGACATCCCGTGTATTTTGTGACCCAGTATTTTTGACGACATACATTAGGAGACCTATCAATACTTGTGATTCATTATCAAAACATTAAAAAAGCTAATTGAGTACCTACAGCCTGTAGAAGCTGAGGTTATTAAGTTGATATAGGTTATGTTTATAACGTTGTCCTACGAGTATATCCATGGCCATGGAAAATTTCTTGGGATCAGTGTATGGCTGCGAATGCACAATAGACACTGAAGATAATGCAAGTATTTTTATACCATTGTATATACGTAGGTGTCGCGTGCAATGAAATGTAAACGTTTGTTAATTTTCGAATATATATACTAGTTAATGTAACTGGTTGAAGACTGTACCACCTCAGTCAACCGTGACCATGGGACCTGTAAAGGGCCCGAAACGTCGGTTTGTTTGAAAAAACAAATATACGCGATTTAAATCCGGAAAAATAGTTTCCTTTCCGATGTGTAACAATCGCGAAAACCTAAGAACTCGATTTGTATAATGTATTTAGTATACAATATAATGTATACACATAATGTGAATAGATCAAAGCAACAACAAAGTTCGATTCTGGACAGACTACGTAAAAGAATAAAAACAGACTACACAGATTTTTGAAGTGAAAGTAGGTGTTGCCGGTACAGTACTTTGAATTTGGGTGTGGTTGTATGACTACGTACGATTTTATGTACGATTATGTATGACTTTCGTGGCACGGATCACCTTATTTCTAATTCGCTCACTAGATAAATGCCGAACATTGCTCACTCCGACTTTGAACTTTTTATGAGATCCATAGTAAGCGACCACGTCTCAGAGCCTTAGGTCATCGTTGGCAACACGCACTGCTCGAAGACTTTTGTCTTCAAGGAATGCGGTATTGCCTTCCCGAAAGCTGCCCAACCGAGTCGTATTCGGCGATTGACCTCTTTCTCGAAATTGGCTGTGCCTAATTGTTCGTTGGTAGGTATAATAGTCTTACGATATAGAATAATGAAAAGAAGTAAATCTGTAACCAACAATGTAAATTAGGCTGGTCCTACAATGTGGCAAAAATGTTTATATAGAAACTTTTAAACCAAACCTGGTGTGCAAATGGCCACGTGGTTCCAGTGGCCGTCGATGCATGTCATGGGGCCCAGGACTCCGTGGTTGTAGTAGTGTGGAGATCGACAGATAGGTTGCACTATTGTGCCCGGTGGTTCCTGAGAAGAACACAGGTTTAGAAGGTACAGAATGAATAATATATACAAATACAAAATACAAAAATCATTTATTTCTCCACAAAGTTACAAAGTTTATGTCTATTAACTATAAGGCACTTAAAGAAACAACACATTTGTGGGAGACTAGAGCCTAAACTAGGTCAAACCTGTATTATAGGTCTCCAGGGACCCCCCCCCCCGGGTGTCGAGTAACACATCAAGTACATAACGGAGAGGCATAAGAATGAAATTTAAATATTATATTTAACAAAATTTGTGTGTGTGGGTATGTTTGTTCGAGAGTGTGTGTCTGGTTGTGTGTGTGTGTGAGTTTGAGTGTGGGTGGGTGTGGTGTGAGGGGATGTGTGTGTGTATGTGGGGATGAGGTGTGTGTGTGTGTGTGTGTGTGTGTGTATGGTGTCTGTTACGCGATTATTCTTACATCTGTGAACCGATTTCTATGATTCTTTTTTTTTGTTGGTAAGGGCGTCCTCGGTATTGATCCCATTCAAGTTTGAAGATAATGTTACACCTCTAAGGATGGCAAATTATTGCATTACACCCACTAGATGTAATTCCACAAACTTTTCAGGTCGGTTTTATATGTTTCTTTTTTTTTACAAGTACTTTAATAATACTAGACAACATCAGAAACGTTGCTCTGATCCCTAAGTATATCTAAAGCACTTGTGTTATGGAAATCGGAAACAACGACGGTACCACAAATACCCAGACCCGAGACAATATTAAGTTAGTTTCTACACGGCCGGGGATCAAATCCGGGACATCAGAGACAGCGACACCATGAAAACCGGTGTGCTAGTCACTGGACCACGGAGGTCGTTAATTCTAATCGTCGCCTTACTTCGTTAAACTCATATCATAAGCTAAAGTGTACTGAATAGGGATTCCGGAACAGGGCATATTTTGAAGAGCCAGGAATTTCGGTAAGTCTTTAACGGAACCGGGATTCAAGCTTCACTAAAATAAAAAAAATAAAAGTATTGCATTTTTTTATCTATGGTTCTAAGTCAATAACTAAGGAACTTCAGACGCACGGATATGTTGAAAAAAAAAAGAAAAAGTTAAATAAATGGTTTGACGGAGTGTAAGAAGAGACCTAAGTATGTAAGAAATATGTACGTAAACTGGTTGATAGAAATACTAAGGTGGGTAGCTTAAAAAAAGCGGAACAATACCAATTCATTGCATTCTCTAGTGCCTTCCTCTTGGGAAACACAGCGGTACTCCACGCTAGGGTGCTTGTTCAGCTTGCAGAAGCCTGTAAAAATAATGTTAATAAATATGGGGACCAGAAATTTACAGCAAAACATTTGTGAATCCAGTTTTGTTCAAATATAATGATATTAAAAAACACATAATCCATTTTTGAACCAGCTAAAAGTGTTTGCCGAAAACACAAAATACCCCTCCCTACACCCAATCTAGAGATGTATAGAAATAGCCCTTATTACAGGACTATACTCCTATGTATAAAATACCAGACATATTGAAAATAGAGGACAAATATACATCTTTTAATAACAAGTTTGTTAATCGTATCTGAAGATTCGGCACCATACGTCATGACGGGCAGAACACACTGATTAAACAAGCGGGTCTTCAGTTCAGACACTGTGGAATCGGATGATCTAAAGGTTACTACTCAATAGAAGAGTTCTTGTCAGATAGAGAGCTATGAGAAATATGTATAAGTGTTCTGTCTCTCACGAACCACACACTTCTAATATACAGGGTGGAAATTTGTAATGCCATCTGGAGGGAAAGTACTTTAATTACTGGAGATAGAAATTTTTACTTAAAGGAAACATTTCTTTATTTTTTAAAAGAAATAAAACTGCACCCTACACTTCATAGATTTTAGAAAATTTCTAGCACCACGCGGGAATCGAACCCGCTTTAATCTGAAAAAAATGCACCCTACACTGTTATTGCATCGATTGATAGGGTTAATTATAAGAATAAAATCTCTCTCATAAAATTGGTTAATTAAATGAAAAAAAAAACCATGAAATCTTCAATCAAAAAAAATGGTAATCTAACTAATTAGTTGGTCGAAATGAGCTCCATTTTCTTGGATACACAAATTTAATCTTTTAACGAATTCATTTTGAGTAACTTTTAATAACGTGTTGTGATTTGTATTACAAATCGTATTCTGAACCTCAGCCTTCAACTCATTTACACTCGCTTCCCTCCAGGTGGCATTACAAATTTTCACCCTGTGTAGTACATAATTGCAGAGGCCGGGAAGTAAGGGATTGCTGGACGAGTATGAGTTAGTTAGTTATAGTTTTTTTTTTATAAAAAAAAACAACAAAATGAGTTTTTTTTATTAATTGTAGCAATTAAAAAATTAACAAGGAAAAAAATTAATATAAAATTTATTTTAAACCTAATTGAAGTTTAAACAATAGAAAAGACCAAAATCTTATTCCCCTAATTGTTTTGAGCAGTATATATTGAAATTTCCAATGAGTATGTAATTATACCAAATTACGTAATATTTTACACGTTTAAGGCGCTGCGCACACGGAACAATTTTAGTTGACGCAACTGTCAAGTTTCCGTTAACGGTTGCCGATCGCAGCAACAGTTTACGATTGCCGCAATTTTAAATAAACTTTCGATATCCAT